GGGGGCGGCTGGGGGGCGGCTGGCACAGGTGTCCCGCGGGATTAGGGCGTGATGCAAAGCCAGCGTTCCCTTCACGTGCCAGTTGCTGCTTTTAAGGTTGCTTGGCGGGTGCGTCAAACTTGGGTTGCGTTGCTGAGCGCCTCCTTATTAATTTCTGTGGGGCTAAGCGTTTCTCCTTGCCTCCCTTCGTGAGCTGGCCCCTGCGAAGGCCGCCCAAACAAGACACGGTGCCGATAACTGACACCTCGCTGGGAATTGGGCTTTTTCTCTCACACGTGCCAGTTGCTGCTTTTAAGGTTGCTTGGCGGGTGCGTCAAACTTGGGTTGCGTTGCTGAGCGCCTCCTTATTAATTTCTGTGGGGCTAAGCGTTTCTCCTTGCCTCCCTTCGTGAGCTGGCCCCTGCGAAGGCCGCCCAAACAAGACACGGTGCCGATAACTGACACCTCGCTGGGAATTGGGCTTTTTCTCTCACTTTATGTACTGGTTCTTGGTTTGGGGCCCGGGGGGACGGTGGAGGGGAGGAATGGTGGGCTGAAGAGGTGGCTGGGATCTGTGATGCTCCTCTGCTGTTTTTTGCCTCTTAGGAATGTTACGCTGAATTTTCAGGTGGAAGAACGGAAGTGTGAAGAAAAACACGAAGGCGGCACAAAAAGCTGGCATAAAAAAAGCAGAATGTGTTCCACCACGCTTTTTGTGTTAGCTTCATATAACCCGTTATGATTTTCAAGAGTACAATACACTGCAGTTGTGATTGTACATGATTTCTATTTAATTATTTTCTATGACAACAGCTCATTAATAAATAATAGTCTTAAATAATGCTGATGATAACTGTGTGCCTGTACCTCTATTTTTAATGTAAGGTTTGAGGTATTTTTTCCACTTTGTCAAGCAGGTTTGTGTTCTTTTTTACTTTCACATGCGTTGCAGGAGCTGTAGCGATTGAGATACTGAAAAAAGAAGTTGTGTGTGTGTTTGGTTTTTTTTTTTTTTTTTTTTTAAAGCGCTGTACAGGGTCATGGTGCCTGACAGGTTTGTATCAGTCAAGTTTCCCTCTTCAGGAGGTTTTTATCATCCTGAAGAGTATGTCAAGAACTTGTGTAATAAATAATCCTGATACAAATTATTATTAAAAAGAAATGTGTTTCTTACAGGTATCTGCGAAGAAACAATGGCGACAGAATCTCCCCGCCGCCCTAGTCGATGTACTGGAGGAGTGGTGGTTCGTCCGCAAGCTGTCACGTAAGCATGTTTTAGAAGAATAGCCCTTATTTGAAGTGGTTTTATATCTTGTAGAAGAAGAACCTAGCCTGAATTTTCTTTCAGAGCCAGCTGTGGGGGCCTGTGTTGACAGTACGGTTTTGTTGCACTGAGTATTTTCCAGTAAGATAAAGCAAACAGATGTTGCGTTCCTGCCTCCTAGGACTGTGCAGGTCAAACTGTCTCCCTAAATGGGATGCTTTCAGCTTAATACACCCAAACCTTCAAAGTGTGCATTTCAAAGATGAGTACTTTATCTTGCAGTGTTTTGTTGTTTGTGTACGCAGTTTTGTTTGCTGTACAAACGCTGTACTAGCTGTAGGTCAATGGTTGCAAACTCCTTCCTTAGCCTAGAAGGAACATGTGGAGCATGTTTCTTGCTGCTCTTTTTAATAATGCCTGGTCACAAGGATGTATTAAAACATATAAGCCTGTCATTAAATTCCTTCGGTAAGCAGAATTGTGGATTCTGATTTTTTTTTTTTTGCTTAAGAGAACAAAAACAAGAGCAAAGGAAGAAGCTACCTCTCTCCAGTCGGAGTGCGTAAGAGGCCATTTTTTCGCTTGGGCGTCCTTATTTTCATTGTGTTCACATGAAAATACCTTTATGGCAAAAGACATTCTAGAACCTTTATGGTCTCGTCTTTGTCTGTAAAAGGATTTTTGTAGCAGTTTTTCTTTTTTCTTGGGGATGTCTATACTGCTGAATTGTTGCTGCAAAATGGCACCATATTGAAATGTTCACTGGCGCTATCAGTTTCAGCGGCTATTAGTTGGCCACTAGAGATAGCGGTGTATGTTGACATCAAGATTCACTTTATTTTTGCCAGGGAGCATAAGAAACCTATGATTATAACACAAAAAGTTGTGTTAAGAGGTTTGTCTTGGCGGCCATGTGACAGAATAAGCATTATTTTGTGTTGCAGAATTTCTCAACAAGTGCATTTCTGTCTGTAATGACCTGTTCTTCAAAGTGCGCTTTAAAAATAGAATAATAGAAAACCACTGTAAGAATAAGATTATCTGTGCTTTTGTTTTAATAAATATGGTGGCTTGTTCTTGAGGTCTAGCTTTTCACCTCAGAAATGTCAGTCTTTTTGGTGAGAGTTTGTGTGTGTTGAGCAGCCTGCAGCAGCATTCTGCTGCTGATGTTAAACTCTTAGATTCTTAATAATGGAAGAATTTTTTTTTTTTTTGTGGGTGGAGGTGGTGGTTTAGTTGTCTTTAAGCACTTTAAAGATACCTTCTTGGAAGTTTTTCAACTTTAGGAGAGATTTAGAGTACCTACACTGAACAAGACGTTTCCCAAACATCAACTTTGTTTCAAGATATACTTGGGGGGGAGGAAAAAAAAGTACTCGTTTAATGAGCTGAAACGTGAAGACAGCGTGACTCTTGCTGGTAGGCATTCACATAAGAACTTCAAACGCTGTATTTAATGCTATACCTGTAGACAAGTATTATTGCTAGGTAATAAAGGGCTCTGAAGGTATACAAAGACAGTTTTGGTGACCTACATAAATCAAAGAAGAATCAGCACTGGAAACCACAACTCGTTTATAAGGCCTCAGCTTGAAGCAGTAAGACAAACTTTGATGCAGTAATCCCTGGACTGCCAAACAAAATCTAGTTTTGCCATGAGTTGGAATAAGATTTAAAACATTATGGTTTAGATCTACTTTTGTTTTCAGAGAGGAGTCAACCAGTTAAGCTTCATGAGTTGGAATAAGCTTTCTAAGATTTAAAACATTATGGTTTAGATCTATTTTTGTTTTCAGAGAGGAGTCAACCAGTTAAGCTGATCCAGGTGTTGCAGCATTTGACTTGAAGAGTCTTCTGTATTGCTGTGTGTAGGGCGGAGTACTTATTTCTTAAATACTCAACATTCCTATTTCTAGTCTAAGAATCTTACACAGCACAGTTTGAGAAAGCACGAGGAAAGCATATGTACCTTTGGACATCAAGAATCTAGATTTCTAATTTATGATTTTTCTTTGTTGCTATTAGAAATCTTGAGTTAGCACAGGAAAAATTACTACCAATATAAAAAATAATTTAGGGGCTGTCAAAGCTGTTACCTAAAGAGTTAATTTAAAAAAAAAAATAAGTGTTTCAGACTTTATGAAGCTAGTTGTTGTTGCCAGCATGTTTCAGTATTACTCATTACAGAAAGCACAAACTTTTTGTGCGGTTTCAACACAGTCTGTCTAATACAGCCAACCCACGTTGTACGTTGCTCAGCAGTTACACAAGAGACTCGCCGCTCACGCAGGGATAAGCTAATAAAAGCATTAGTTTAAATCTATCAGAACAAATGTATCTTGCACTATATACTATTCTAAATCGTTGCTGCTAATGAACTTCCAAGAAGGAATAAGCTTCCCAAGCTATAAAATCTTATCTGAAAATACCTCCTTACTATTCTTAGTTAAGGTTTTGTTCCATCTCCTGCCCCCAAGCGCTACCGCTTACCTCATCACGGTACGTAACGCAGACGAGGTCTTGAAGTTTACTTGCACCACAAGGAGAGCTCCAGCCCTTAGCTTCAGTCCTCATCTTCATGTTGTAATAGCCAAGTCAAATAGAAAAATACCAAAGAATAACTTCCAACTGCCTGTTGGCCACTCTGATGTGGAGAACATGCTTTATTTCTTGACTATTTTATGTTACACTTT